CCGCTCTCCCGGCCGTGCCGAGTCGGGGGTGCGAATCCCGGAGCTTGTAGTCCCGCTGCGTGTGTCTGGGAAATCCGGGCCGCCGCCTGGGCCGGAGCAGCATGCAGGGGAACTAGTAGTCTGTTTTTGTATGTCGGCACATCTGTAAGGTAGTCTTGGCTCCTTGTGTTCCGACCGCAACTTGATACCCAAGGATAGCTGCACAAGTTTGGCTAAAATGGGTTCAGTTTTCTTCTCCTGCCGCAAAGGGCTGTGCTTTAGGCGCCAGCCCAGGAATTATTTACAAAACTAACATCACTTTTAGACCAAAATGTTTGACGACATGAGCCAACACTGGAAAAACTTAAGTACTTACTTTCATAGTTGAGTGAAAGGCTGAGCTATGCAACTCCTAACAGCAGGTATCTAGTCTTATTTTGTATATTGGAGGAAGGAAGCAGGTAAATTCAACCACGTGGGTTAGTCTTTTGTGTTGGTTTGTTTTTTTTTTTATTTATATATGTACTTTACTCACATGTGTGTGAGGAGCAATAGTAGGGAGGGCTAAACCAGAGGCAGTTAGTTGCATAATCAGAACTACATTTTGGGTGCATCCAGTAATGAGGTTTTGTGATTTGACTTGAACACCTGGATTTGGAGGGGGTTTGGGGTTGTTTGGTTTTTCGACGGTTTTGTGGTGGGTTTGGTTTTTTTCTTAATTACCTTACTACTCTATCTTGTGGAAGGAATTTATGTTCACGTTCTGCATTTCTCTGGTGCTCTGTGTTTTTTCTGAGGACAAGTCTGCTGCCTTGATGCCATCACCAAAGAATGGTAATATTAGCAACTCACCTGGGAGCAAGGTGTTGCTTTTCTCTTCCTTTGCTTCTTAGCACTGTATGCTTTTGTGAAATTCCAAATACCCTTCATCTCGATGACTGTCATTCCTTGATGAATAGAGTTTGCTTGTGTGCATGTCTTTTTTAAAGTATTGTCTTTTATAAATTCAGGTGTTGGATTACCATGGGTGTAAAATAAGCGACCCATACTGCTGGCTTGAAGATCCCGATAGTGAACAGACGAAGGTAACCTTTCTTTGAGCGGGAATGGCTGTTTTGACACGGTTCTCTTTTATAGACTAGGTGCATGGGTACTCTGTTTTTGAAGGACCTGCCAATACTTTTTGAAAATTTACATAGTGAGTGTAGGTGTAGTTCTTGTGATATCTTATGGCACCAACAGCAATGCCATTATTTTGTACCTTTGTGTTAATGGGGGAAAGACTGGAGCACTTGGTATAACCTAGATCACACAATTTGGAAGACTAAGGCCTTCTTTATCTTGCACCTGTTTTTCTTAGACAATTTGAATGCTCAAGGTGGTGGTGTCACGCTGAAGTGAAACACTGATTTTAGAGCGCTTTATCCACTGTCCTAAGTACATCTAAAATTGCTGTAATAAAATAATTAAGAAAGGGTAGAAAGTAAACTTCTTTGGCTTGCTTTCTTCATACAGTGACAAAGCATTTTTTTTTGAACCCTTTTTTTGAGGGGAAAAAAAGAAAATCCAAAACAAAAAAACCACAACGTTTTCCTCCTGAAGTTAGGCTTTGTTAGTGGCTTTTATTACAGATTGCAGATGTTGCAGTGTTTTCAGCGTGCAGTCTGGTGTAGCTAGATTGTACTGCTGGAACTCGTCTTTTGCTGAGAAAGAATCCTGAAAAATAATAAAGTATGACTGTGAGCCAGTACCTCTGATATTCATGGCATAGGGAGTTGCAGGGGTGATGGCCAGGAAGTGGTAGGTGGCAGTGTGGAGGGGATTTCCTCTGTAATGGCTAATAACTTCGTGATAACTGTAGTTCCAGATCTAAAACACTGGCATCTATCTAGTATGCATGATTGTGTCAGAAAGATGATGGAGGGCAGGATCTCCATTTAAAAGTATCCTGCAGGGTGGCTTTCCATTAGTGAGATTCCTTCTAGGTTCTCTCATGCATGTGCTTACATAATACATCTTGATGAGCTGGAGGATGGTTGAATAGAACTTACTGTAACTGTCAAGAGCAAGATAAAATGTGTACAGTTAGGATCCCATTCCCTGCTTTCTATCAGCATATATATAACGACTCATGGATTAAAAAGGTTTATTTGGGATCAGTTTTTAGTGAAAAACTCTGCCATGGACATTAACATTGAAAATTAGATATTTAGTAAGTTGGGAGTATTTTGATTTTTTTGATTCTGGCATCCTTAAGAAACGGTACACATAGGTGAGTTTTGTGCCAAATTCAGAGGGATATATGTGTGTGGGGAGGTATGGTTATGTCTTTCTTTTGTAGGTGCCTTACAAATACCTATTAAAGTGGTTTTCAGGATCCTATGGAAGAGTTGGGATTGAGAAAATGCCAAGACCTGACTTATTGTATCCCTGTGTTCAGTACTCTTGCCACATACTGTGAACAGGTTGGGTGAGAACAGTTGGAGGAGGGTGAATCTCATTCTCCAGAGGTTGTAGTTTATATAGGAAAATAAGGAATGGGGGTTTATAACATCCTCATAAAAATGCAGCAGCCCAGACACAGGAGGTCACATTGGTGGAATGAAAACACTGTTAAATCTTACTTGCCTACATTCTACGTGCCTTGGCAGAATTTTGCAGTCCAGTAGTAGTATGATGCAAAGAGTGGAGACAGTCCTTGTGCGTATAAGTATGTGAGTATGTCATCTTTTTCCGAAGTTCCAGGAGTTACTGAACAAAGGGAATTCAAGTATTTTGCTGTTCTACCTCTGTCATAAAGAGGTCAGAAAAAAAAATCTTGAAGTGCTAAACTCCTTTCATCTGCATTATCACTCACTTCTTTGTGCTGTGCAGCAGAGGTTGCTGATGGCCGCTCCTTCTTGCTAGCTTTTCGTAATAGTTTTATCTCCAAGTTCTTGAGATAGTTTGCAGGACTCCTGCAGAATAGCCATTCTGTACCTACCAGATCAAAGAATAACCAGACACTGGTATAGAGGTAACTGAATGACTGTGCAGGCTTTAGAGAGAATTTGGAGCGTGCTTTATATACTTTTCAAGCCTTCAAGTCACTGACCTTGAGACCTGTGTCCTTCCCATTCTTCCTCCAAGTTGCTTGCTCTCTTTATGCACTCCTTAATATCCCAACCTCCATTTGTTTTGGGGAAAAGTAAAAATATCCTTTGTACACCTCCGACAATAGGCTACCTTTAATTTTCTACGTATTAAGTACAGAACTAGAAGAAGAATTCCTTGGGCATCCACGCGCATCTGTAGTGAAAGAGCCCTTATTCGGTTCCTGTTTACAACATGCTTGCTTGATTTGAGTATGTATAACAGTGAAAATTCTGGTTTATGCCAAGAGTGAAGACTGAACGCCATTCATTTATTAAGTTAGGAATCTTTTCTTACATGCAAGCAGTCAAAATTATTCAGTGTGTGCTGTTGAGTAGATACACAAATATGTTGGAATTCTACTTTTCTAGACTTAGCAGAAATAGTCATGTCAAGCATTGGTGTGGTCATAGAAAATAAATGGGTAGCCCTCACTTTGTTTCTGTGTTGATGTGAGTCAGTGAAACATAAAGTTTACTATTGAAGCATGGAGAAAGAAGCACAGGCAAGTGAGATTGGTTTTAACTCTGGAATTTTCATGGTAGTTTCACCTGATGTCCACTGTAGGGTTAACAGGACTGGGACTGAAAGAAATTATCCACAACAGCTATGAGTGTAAAGAATCATACTCATTTTTTCTGTGGCTAGTCCAAATGATCTTGTGGGCTCTGCTAGTTAGAAGCTTACAAACAAATGAACATAGAAAGGTGGGATTTTTTTTGTTACTGGTTTAATCAGGTATTTTTGCAGTGAGAGTAGAGTGCAGATGGTACTGTACCTGATCCACTGTAGTTTGCAGGTTTCCATTAAGTCAGGTGGCTCTGTGGTTTCTCTCTACCCTCCCTCCTCCTTCTTGCACTGACTTGAATGTTTCCGTCCCTCCTTTGCATAGGTATAGCCATCACAAGGTGATATTCTGGAGGGGAAGCCTTTGGTGGATTAGTTTTCTGTTGGTGCACATGCTTAATCTAAGTCACCCCAAGACCATGTGATAGTTGGATCTAAGATGGTTCAGGAATGGGATCTTTCCTCTTCTAGCAACCCGCAGCCTACTTTAATTAGGTGAAAGTCAAATAGGTCTAGAAACTTTTCAGCCAGGTCGCCAAGATGATCTTGTTCCATATGTGTGGTATTATGAACAGGTGTATGTTTGGATTGGAATTGAAACTCTCAAAACTACAGTTATATGGATTTGTAGTTATAATTGACCAGTGTTTCATTCACATGTTTTGATAAATTTCCTATTGCACTTTAAATTTTTCTTTGCTAAAGTAAATGCTAAGAGGCAAGCCACCAGAAATCTGCTTAGTTTTATTTTGTAATACTTAAAAAAGGGTATGTGCCTTCTTGTAGGACTTGCATTGAACTACCTTTTACTGGGAAGACATATATATGAAGACTTTGGGGGTAACTATTAAAGAAACTGTAAATGCTTTATAGATTAATAACAAGGACTGGTAATGTTAAAACATTTTCTACCCTAAGACTTCTTGAAAAGTATACTGTGAGTGGAAATCATTATCTTGTTGAGAGAATAGCTTAGTGGCATGTAGAAAGCTGATAGGTTGTAACAAAGCAGGGTTAAAAATTTTGTGGCATGTGGTTTAGTTATGAAATTTGGTTATACTTTTTTGAAAAATAACAATTGGCCTGCTCAAGTAATGGCCAAACACTTCAGCCTCGAGTAGACCATCTCTACTCTTAGCACAACACTTCAGAAATTCTTTTGCTTTTCAAATTACCTTAGTTTCTGAGACACCCATAAGCATTACTTGGACCCTTATTCTGTCCTTTCTCCTGCTAGCAAATTCTGTCCTGGTTCAAGGCTTATGATAGATTGTCAGATGCAGATTTCTACAGGTAAAGTAGGAATCTTTCTCTATAGGCTCATGAAGATGTACAGAGAGTTACTGTTAGCCCTGTAGCCTGGGTGGCATCTGTTTAGCCCAGCGTGGTGGATGGAATTGTTTACTGTGAGCATTTCTGCTGACAACAGCTGCTCCTGTACTTTACCTAGAGCAGTATTTCAATTATGTATTGCTTTTTGAACATGAGTGCAACCTTGTATTCAAAGATGTAAGAACAGTGAGTTTCCAAACTGGACTGGATTCTTCTCAGTGGAACTCTTTCAAAAATCTGTAATTCTATCTCCTTTTTTAGATAGCAATGGCATTCCCTTTTACAAATAGTCTTGGAGTCTTTGGTGCATGCTGAGTGGAAATGGGAAAAATATATTAAATCCCTGTAAAAGCAAAATTACTAGTGATTCAGTTGTAAGTGCAATAGTATGTAAGCATGGTCTTGGGCAACAAATGCTTGTAAAGAAAAGTTTTTGTCTCCTCTTTGAATAACAGTAATGAAAGCAGATGTGGTAAGATGTGACTATGGAGTTAAAAGTGAGTAACACACAGTTCCAGTATGCTCTTTGCAGGAACGTTACCATTTTGGTCAAGTTATTGATAGATGAAACAAAGATGTGTGGCAGTTTCTGTCCACTAAATGCAACTGAAAAGTGCTTTTGCCCATCCAGAACAATGGATGGATTTATACATGTTTTTATAAGACATCTTTTCTCTGAAAATGTCACAGCACTTTGAATAGTTAGTTTATTTGTGTAGCATGCACTGGCTAGATTTTTGTGTATGTGGTCTTTGAAATTCACGTGTTTCCATTTAGAGAAAACAGATTCAGATACACATAATTCTTGGGTAGATTTGATGAAGTTCTTTCATCATCTGATGGGGCGGGGGGGAAACTGTTATAGTGGTACAGTGTGGAGGCGACCACTGGGATGTGCTGTGCTGCCGTGCTGGGTGTTAAAACTGTCTATGCCAGTAAGATCCTCAAAGGGAGAACAGAAGCAAAAATTGGCCTTCTCTTGGTAGTACATTCACCTCTTTTCTTCCTTTTTCTCAGGGGATCAATTCCTGACTCGATCCTCACTGATGTATAGAGTCTAATTTTGAGTAAAGGTCCAGAAGTCATGGTTGTTAGCCTTCTGTATCTGTTCCTTTTCAGTGCTGTAGTGCTTGCTTTCTTGTGTCATCCCTGAGTGGTGACTTGCATGTAACCAGCCCACGTGTTCTTGAACTAATATGTTTCAGCACTTAGCCAAGTGCTTTTAGGGCATTACTAATTCTGCACTCACATGTTTAAAGCTTATCAGTTTCTGTATGCTTTGTTAGGCATGAACAAATACCTCTCAAGTGGAGACTGACCATAATTAATGTACTTTCTCCTTTACCTTTTGGCCTGACAAGTCTCTGAAAGCATAGCTTGGCAGGTAATGCAGCTTTTGGCTATGCAGTCCTATGGCAGCGAGGCAAATAGGGCAAGTAGAGACACTCTCCCTCCCATGCTTACTTCTTGCCAGGTGAAATGTCTGTAAAATGCTACTGAGAGAGTTTTATGTTCTATTTTTTCCTCTTTTTCATCTGAAGAATTAATAAATGAGTAAACGTTGATAGCAATTGGTAAATGTGTGCCAGGGACTGTTTGTACAGCAGCTGGCTTTTCTGAAGAACTGTGAAACACAAGTTGTGGAATATGGATTATAGCCCTGCTGCTCCTGTGGGTCATGGCCTGTGGTGAAGTGTAGCTCAGATGTTATCATGCCTTGATCTGCTTGCTGCATGACAGATTCAGGACAGGTAGAAACAATAGCCTCTTTCAAAGCAACTGGGGAAGAGACCTGCATAAGCAAAGAGATGAGTGGACATCTGGAGACGCAGGCTGGAGGCGAGAGGCTGGGGTCCGAGAGTGATACTGCAGCCATCATTGCGCCGTCTGGCTGTGAATTACAGCCACGCATACTGTGTCCTGTCCTTCCTACTCGATGTTAGAGACAGAAAAGCCTGCATGTCTGCTTCTTAGCAGCTGTGGTTCACCTGAAGACGCTTAGGTATTAATTCTATGTTAATGTACTGTGCTATAAATAGGGATGGTGAAACACCAACAGAGCACCAGTTTTTCCATGCATGCCATGGGAGTGGCAGCCTCTAACAAACAGCTGGAGTGGTAATGGTTTTGGCCACTGTTGTTAAGTGTTTGTGATTGGAAGGTGGAGTGTTCTGAAGAAACCAGACTCCCCAAAGTTCTCAGAGATTAGGTATTATGCCTTTTGTAACTAAGAACTGATCTGTGGACAATATTTGGCCTTTCCAAGAAGTAGTGGCTGGGACTAATCCTCTGTGTTATGTTAATAGAATTAACAGATGGTGCACATGACATTTTGTATTATCTTCCAGCCTTTCACAGCTCCTGAAATGATAGTGCTGTCTATGGGCAAAAGGGTCTCTGTTCTTTATCCATTTCCTAATTTATTTATCGTAGAGTATTGGAGTATCGTATATTTGTGGTGAAGTAAGGTACTTCCTAGGTATATACTGTAAGTTAGCTTTTCTATGCCGTTTAGGCAAATATAAGGAGAGTTTTTAAAAGCATGAGGTTTGGGTTTTTTTTTTAGAAGGGATGTCTTTGGCCAAACCACTGGTTACCCCAGTGTGTGCCCTGCAGAGGTGTTATGCAAGATACAAGATCAGTCTTATTACAGTATTGTGGCATAATGCAAATAAATATGTAAGACTCTTCAGGTGTGACTCTACACAACCTATGTGGGGAGGGGAAGATGTCTGTGATGCATTGCTTCAGAAAATAGTGTTTTCTGTAGGAAAGATGCATTTCTGCTTGAGTTCATATATTTTGCGGGGGGATTGTTTTCTTTCAGGCATTTGTGGAGGCTCAGAACAAGCTTACAGTACCCTTTCTCGAGCAGTGTCCTGTCAGAGGACTGTTCAAAGAACGAATGACTGAACTCTACGATTATCCTAAGTACAGTTGCCACTTCAAGAAGGGAAAAAGGTATGTGAGGAATGTCTTTGTAGGTGGTGATGAATGTGAAGCAAGTCAAAAGCAACTACTAGTTAGGAAAACAAATTATAAATTGTATTTTTATTTATTCCTTTATAGTTGGGAAGTAGGAAAAGTAAGTCAATGTTAATATATATGGTTGCATGATGCAGAGCACAAGATGCTTGACTGTCTCCAATTTCCAGTCGTATTATCTTCTTGTGCTTTTGTCGTCTTTTTATAGGAAGAACTGTGAGTTTATCAAAACTCAGACAACTTTGTAGGATAACTGTTGTAAAAGTAAAAGTTTGGGGAGTTCCTTTCAGGGTTGGTCACTGTCAGTATAGTTGAAGGCTCCTCATCCTGAAAACGGCACAAGTCTGTTATGAGCATGTTGTTCTAAATATTTACTAAAATACTGCTCCTATGCTGGACATACTTTGAGCAGCTGGTGGAATTTTTGTTTAGTCATAGCCAGTGAAAAGCAGTGGAAATTCCCTTGTGAAAAACGGCTCCTGTGTCTGCAGGGGATAGGGGAAAAATCATTTGGAGGATTTAACGCAACAGATGCAAAAAGATCTGTCTTCTAAGAAATAAAGAAATCCTGCTATATTCCAATACCTAGTCTACTTGTATCCCTGTTTTAATGCTGTGGCTAGGTAAAGAGATGGTGCTTATGTGGCTTACCTAAGGTCTGGAGACTGCAGCTGCTACTCAATTTTATGTGACCTCTTTCAGAAACACTAGCAATCTCCTAGAGAAAGAGAGTAAAGCGATGAAAATGCTGATTAACTTAGTGACATCTAAAGATTGTTTTAGCAGTTGAAAAAGAGGTATTGTGAACAACCAGCCATTCTTAATCATGGGAAACACAAATAGTCTTTTTCAGTATTTTCAATTTGTTTGATTGTTGGGTGAGCACTCAGATGTGCCAGGTATGTTTTCACTGTCATCCACAGGAAAGAGCAGAAAATGTCTCATTGCCTTCAGATTTCTGCACAGATACTAAGGGAGATCTGCTACTCTTTAGTTATCTGTCCTATGCTGTGTGGAAGGTGTGGATACTTGTTACTAAGGGAGGGAAAGTCTGTACTACATGGGTTTTTTTGAAAGTATATTGTGGGGAGTGAACCCAAGCTGATGTTGATTTAAGTTGTCAATATATAGAGGTGTGGGATTTAAGCCCAGAAGCAGTGGGGCTGTTTAGTACAGTGCTGCATCCGGGGAATTAAGCCTTATTGAGCGAGTCAGGCAAAGCTTGTTAGTTTGTATGTGATGCTCATGCAGATGTAGCTATGCTGAATCTGATTCTGGAGCAGGCCTGGTTAGTGACTGCTCTGGATTCTCTGACCCATTCCCCCTGTGCAGTGCAAACACGCCTGGGTGTGGTTATCTTCAATGCTGATAAGGCTTGATGTTGCAGAAGTGCTCATGGCAGTGATGAATATAGTCTCCACTAGAGATAAAAAGTCTTAATTTGTTGCAGCTGACTGTCCTCCAGGAAGAACATTTATGCCAGGATCTTCATGTGCTTTAATTTAGGACACTTTACTTTGATTTTAATAGATGTCTTTTTAGTTTTTCTGAGTGTTACTCTATTTCTTGGTACGTGCTGAACTTAAATCACAGTGATTTAAAAATCATACCAAAAAACATATATTATGGTGTTTGAGGGGATCAAGAGGGCTCTACCAAGTTAAGTAACACTTAGTATGGGGTGAGGGGAGGAACTATTCTATTTGAAGAACTATCTAAACTTCCCATGACACTTAGAAATTCTTAAATTTAATTACTCCAGTTTTCTGCCAAAGAATAGCCGCTAAAGGACAGTGTCTGAAGAGCTGTGCTGTAGAATCTGCAGAAAGGAAGAGTGCTCAGGGAGGTGCTGTGCCTGTTACACTGTTTGGCCTTTGCTTCCCAGCTTATTACCCAGCATTACAGAGGTGAAATTGGCTAGAAAATGCATGGTCAAATGTAAAATTATGTATCTTTTTCTTCTGTTTCTTTGAATCTTTTGATTTTGTCACTCACTGAACATTCATGTTAATATTTGAACATATTACTAGTTCATATTGTTAGCCAGGCCTTTGTGAGTGTAGTTCCCCCTTCTGGGTTTACCGGGTTCCCAAAGCTTGTATCCAAGTACTGGACAGTCTTAGGGAATGTGTGAACTTATGTTTAGGTTTGAACATTACCTCATAAATTCCCCTGTTCCCCCAGGTGAAGCTGCTGTTTGATTTGTTAAGCCACAGGTTTGTGTAGTAAAACTCAAAAGTCCTATGAAGGAAGAAAAGTGTAGTATCTATGAATTGCATAGAATACAGTTATTAATTTCTTTGTGCTCTGTGAAGATGTGAAGAGTATCCCTCACTAAAGAGAATTCTGTAATTCTCTGTTCCTACAACTTTTTCAAACCACAGAGTTTTACGGACATCGGGAAATACAGATGAAACAATTTCAGTTCTGTTTCATTTGAACATCTGTCTGCCACCTGATACAGATTGAAAGCAGCTATATGAATGACAAAGCTTAGAACGTAGGGGGTGGGAACCTGTGGCAATACTTGTAACAGAGAAACACTAAGGCTGCCAGAGCTGTTTAGCACAGACAGTTATGTAGAGTTTATAGTACACTTAGCTTTGTTTGAAACACACTGTGGCAAATGCAGCTTTTCTTCTTAGAAGATGTTTTGGATGCATCCTACAGTATCCTCTATACAATCTATATCACATTGGGATGAGATTCCTCTCATTTTTAGAGTCTTGAAATTGGTGTCTGGCCTTCCTCTGTACTAAGGGGGAGAGAAAGGCACCCACAGAGGATGGTTAAATCCCTGATGGCCACAGGAGAAATCATGATTCCTACTCTACTGTGAAGCTTGTCTTTCTGTTATATATTTATCTGTCTTTTATTCACTTCATGACAATCTCATACAAGTTTTTCTCGCTTGCCTAACTGAAAATCTGAGTTCTTCCTACTTATTTTATCCTCTTGTGTTCTTTTAGGTATTTTCACTTCTACAATACAGGACTGCAGAACCAGCGAGTTTTATATGTACAAGACTCCTTGGATGCCGATGCCAAAGTTTTTCTTGATCCAAATAAGCTTTCTGATGATGGCACTGTGGCTTTACGAGGTTAGTAAGACTGCAGTTCCTACTGAATAAGTCTGGGTCTTCAGCAGAAGTGGGAAATGGTTTCCAGCTCTTCACCTATACAAGTATGGCTAGAGAGGCTTGTTTTAATCAAAGTAGTCACTAATCCTCTTAAAATTGTATTTTGTATCTTTAACACAAGCCAGCAAGTTGAAGTGAGAGACTGTGAAGGAACATAGCATTAACTTTTATGAGAATCACAAAATACTTGTGTTCACTAGGGCTTTAATTTGTGTTAGCTGTCCATTTTCCCACTCCCTATTGACTTATTGTAGAAGCAAGACTCTTGGACTTAGAAGTCCTTTAAGTCTGTTCAAGGCCAGTTAATAAAAACAGAGGACAGAATTAGTGGATGCTTCTTTAAGTGTGAAAGCTAGTTGAAAAGTATCAATACGGCTTTTTTTAGTGAGAAGTTCTGCCTTAAACTATGGCTATAAGGAATTGGGTTCATATAATCTTTCTGTATTTCTACAAAGCTTATGACAAAGTCTTTTTCCAAATGCACTTAGAGAAACAACAGCCATGGAACAAGACAGGAAACTCCTGGTGTTGATAAATAATTGATTTAAAGGCAGGGACAGGAATAACTGATCGGCTCCCAAAGTGGAAATCACCAGTAGAGTTCTGTCAGAGATTATGCTAGGACTTGCACTGTTCAATATGTTCATATATATTAGAAAAAGGAGTGAGCAGTGAGGTGGCAGAGTTTGGCGATGATACAAAGTTATTTCAGGTAAAGGCTGAAGAATGACTGAAGAGCTGCAGGAAGACCTTAGTGATAGTGAGTGGGCAATACATTAACAGGTAAAAGTCTCTGTGCAGATAAATTAAGTGATGCACAGGGGACAAACAATCCTAACCTCATTTGTAGAGGAATGGATGGAATGAACTCTGAGCTGACCATGACCGTTTGGGAACAATTCTTGGGCTATAATAAATAGTTCCATGAAAATGTCAGCCTTGGTAGCAGCCGAACCAGCACATCAAATGTCAGAAATGATTAAGAAGGAAATAGAGAACAAAACAGAAAATACCATTACATTAGCAACTCAGGGGTTTATACAGTAGCGTTGAATATTAAATATAGTTCCCGTCCCCTCAGCTCAAAGGGGAAATACAGTTCAGAGGAGGGCAGTAGGAACAATCAAAGGTACGGAGCAAAGGTCAGGAACAATTTAGTCTGCCCAGATCAATCAGCTTGGAAAAGGGGCAATTTAGCAGGGATATAATAGAGGTCTACAGAATCATTTGTGGCATGCAGTAGCATGGAGAGAGTGAATAGGGGTTGGTTAGTCGACATTTTTTCTATTACAAGAATGAGGGGGTATCAAATGAAGGCAGTGCGAGTCGAGTCCAAAGCAAACAAAAGAAGGTGGTGGTTCATACCAGAAGAAATAGATTTATAGAACCCCTTACCAATGGATGTTGGTGGTGCAAAAAACTTACTGTGGGTTTAAAGGGAAGCTGGACAAGGTCAAGGAGGAGGGAAGCATTGAAGATTATTAACCAACTGCTTCATGGAAGAGAAGTCTTCTAAGCTAAAACTGGTCAGAGGTTGTAAGACTATTTGTGGGAAATACTACATGTGCTTGCATTCTCCTTACTCTTGTAGGCATCTCCTTGTGACTACTTCTGAGGACAACTAGGTGGAATCTTGTTCTGAATCAGAATGGCCACTCTTATGTTCTTATGGGGGAGAATATGTTAGAGTGGCACAGTGGAGTCTCTCAAATGTATGATTTCTGTGAAATGCAACTTTTTTGTGTGTTTTTTTCAGTAGTTACTTTCAGGTCTGTACAGGCCTATGATAATTCAGTCTCTTCACTTGAATTGATTTGCAAGCGTGAATTTGATCCTTATCAACTATGATGGAAGCTCTTCTGAATTTTTTCCAGAATCATGTTTTCCTCACAGTTTGGATAAAGCAACATATATATCAGAGGTCTTAGCTGAGAATACTGGTGATTAATCCATTTGTGTGGTAGTGGCAAATTTTTCCAGTGACTTCAGTTTTCATGGCGTTGCAGGGTCTAGTTTTCATTGACTCCTATACTGCAGTGGTGTTTGCTTTATTTCAGGGTGCATTGCTTGCATCTCAATTTCTATTGCCTTCTTTGGTACTGTTTCTCTCTTAAAATCTCACTTTAAGTTCTCTACCTGTGTGCCTTTTCAGTCTCCACCTCTTCCCTCCAAACTCAAGGAAGTAGAAGAATCTCAATCATAATTCAGATGTTAGGCATAAGCGATGTTACTGAACATACTTACTGAGTATGCATGCCTAAACTCAGATCTGTGAACTACTTGAGAAGTCCACAGAGACTAGAAAGGTGCTGCGAATCCCAAATGATAGCAGATGTAGTTGCTTGCACTGTCTTTTAGAAAATAAACCCTCTTCTCTCAGCGTTCGGTGAACACAGTTCTTTTAACTACTTTCCCAATTTCACAACTCTTTCATTGGGATTTGGCTAGTGTGTAGTAAATAATAAAAAGCTGTGTGGCAAAATAGCAAACACTTTTTTGATAATAGTGATTCCTTGTGCTGGTTCTTACTTCATCTTGTTTGGTTCCAATTTCCTAGGTTATGCATTCAGTGAAGATGGTGAATACTTTGCATACGGCCTGAGTTCTAGTGGCTCTGATTGGGTTACTATCAAGTTTATGAAAGTAGAAGGTCCTGAGGATCTTCCAGATACACTGGAGAGAGTTAAATTCAGTTGCATGGCATGGACCCATGATGGAAAAGGCATGTTCTATAACTGCTATCCAAAACAAGATGGAAAAAGTGATGGTAAGTATGGCTGTACTAATTGCATGCTATAGAGAAGCAAAATGACCTTTTCAGTAAATTGGTGCAACAAATAATTACCTCTACTAGTTTATACTGAAATAACTAGCTATACTAGTTAATAAAAGGAAATAGTAACTGTTTGAACAGGTTTGCAATGTTTGAGATTTTATTTTGTTGTGGAAGGGGGTGTTTGGTGGGGAACGGTTGTAGGCTGGAACCATTCGTAGTTCTCTCTGCTGAATTACTCTTCTATTTTACATGCAAAGGGATACAGAAGTTTCTAAACGTTTTATTTGGTTGTTGTTGGATTTCTTTGAGAACTGATTGATTTAAATATCTGCAATTCTCTAGGCACTGAGACCTCCACTAATCTGCACCAAAAGCTGCATTATCATGTATTAGGAACTAACCAGTCAGAAGATATCCTGTGTGCTGAATTTCCCGATGAACCAAAATGGATGGGTGGAGCTGAGGTATGATAAACACCCTGAAGCTTGTCATCATTATGTTTGGTTTTTCAGATTCTAACAACTGGTAGTAGGTATAAAGTGGAAAACATTTTGTTAAGAGAATGCTTTTTATTAGTGTTGCAGAGCTGACCATTGAACTAAGAATCATTGATTAAGAATTGCTGAAAATAAGACTGTCTAGTTTGTTTTAAATCAGTCCTCAAGCCTGTAATGACACAATCACATACCCTTTTTCTTCACTGAGGGCATTCTGCCTGATGCACATTCCAGGACAGAGAAGGATCATTTGATAGACAGTGTGTCACTGTTCTTGTTTCTTCTTAGTCAGTGTTGAGCCCTAGCATTCACTTTCTGCACAAAAAGCTTATTCCAGTGATAAGCATGTCTGGATATTCCCTGCCATGTATTTATTTTGTTTATTTTCGTGATGTCTTTCCTGAAAATGAAATATGTCTATTCTACTTACTTGAAGAATGGAGACATAGAGGTTAAAATCTATTAATACTGTGTGTGGAGTTGGTTTTTTTACAACAAGTTTTATCAGCACAAGTATGGTGTGGACTGTGTTATTGGAGATGGAACAAGTGACTGCTGGAATTGATTTCTTCAGCTTATTTTATTGAACTACTACTACTACTATATTGTACAAAGTCCCAGTGAACCAAAATGATGGGTAACCATGCTCTGTTCTTCCCTATGTGAATGATTCAAAAGACCCTAAGTTTTGTAATTAATGTGTGTTTTATTCCTCATGTTAGATTTAAGTGTTTGATTGAGTCCACTGTTCTAAGTGCTGTTGGAGTGTACTGGTGGTTATTCTGTTTATCAGGGAACTGATGTTTTTCCAGTGGATAAAAACCTGTTGTAATTCTTTGTACTTTCCTAGCTACTATGTTTAATCAGTACATTTTGTTTCTATACAGGGTCTCTTTTGGTCTGACACTTCTGATAAATATGAATTGTTTTTACCCTGATTTGGGGTATTCAGTTCCTAGAACTACTTTTCCATGAGAGTACCTCTTTTAAAAATTTGATCATCAGTCTGTGCTCACTTTTCAATACATCAGCCCATGAAAACGTTGGAGGTTTCTTTTCTGTGGGCTGCCAGAAAAGAAAGGTTCTTTCAAAGAATTTGAACAGCGGGATTCAAAATGAGACAGTGAGTGAGAATGTGAAAGGCTCCCCAGCAAAGTGACCACACTGAGCTTTCTCTATACAAATCAGACTTATCTGTAGGTTCTGTGTATAAACAGAACCTTTTCATAGAATCATAGAATCATTAAG